GTAATTTGGTTTCCTTCTCATAATAGAGTGTATTCTGACATGGGCAGGATGATGAAAATCATGGTTGAATATTCTACTTTTCAAACTTAATGCCAACAAGGTCTAAGTTATGTTTACAAGATAAAAAATCCTCAAGGTTTTTAATATTTAAAATGCCTAGAAGCCAATATTTAGTCTTTGATGATCTATCTGCTAAGACTTCTGCCAATTTCATTAATCAAACCAAATTGAATTGTTTTACTGTTAGGTTTCTATGGCCACTTTACCTTGTAAAACAACCTTCTTTATGTAGCAGTCTCAACTGTTTACATGAACCATAGCAAAAAACCAGAATCAAATCCATCTATTCTTAATGTTTGCATAAGGATGCAAACAAAATCAGGTAAGTATGGAACAATGTATAAGTGAGGTTATCACACTTTGATGTAAAAAATTTCTATTTTGTGTATTTTTAAATAAATGTTAACACTAACCTGGCATCATGGTGCTGCTGTCTTCAACTGGCTATAGGAAGACAGTGCTGTCTGTGTGGAGCCTTGTGCGTCAGTCAGTAAGTGGGCGGGACTCCTGAGAGCAGCACTGCCCAGCACATAGGCAAAACTGATACGGAGGTAGTAAAAAGAAACCAATTAAACTTAATATTTTATTTAGCCCACTACAACTAAGACATTAACATGTAATAAAAAAAATTCACATTTTCTTAAGTTTTCAAAATCTGGTATGTTACACATATAACATTCTCAATTTGAAATAGCCACAATTAAAGTGCCCAGTAGCCCCATGTGGTGACCTTATTGGGCAGTGCAACCCCAGAGGGTTATGAAAAAGTAAGCTGAGTTGGGCAAGATGTGGAATTTGCCATATTGTATTTTGGGGCAATAGCCACCACAATTTGAGGGTTTAGATCAGCGGTTCTCAACCTGTGGGTTGCAACCCCTTTGGCGGTCAAACGACCCTTTCACGGGGGTCGCCTAAGACCATACTGCATATCAGATATTTACATTACGATTCATAACAGTAGCAACATTACAGTTATGAAGTAGCAACAAAAATAATTTTATGGTTGGGTCACAACATGAGGAACAGCATTTAAAGGGCCAGAAGGTTGAGAACCACTGGTTTAGATGGTCTACTTCCCCACACCAGCTGTCAAAAAAGACAAACATCCGTATGGTAGCAGAGTTTAACAGGCTGGTTGTAGACTATGCTGTTGGTGCTAATTGTTAGCATACACGAGCCTGCAAGGAGTAAAGCACTAAAGTCACTCTGGAGTATGTCCAGCTATTATTGTTAGCACACTACAAAAGGGAAACGCTTGTGGTGCAGCAGAAACAGCACAGCCTTAGAGCAAAACACAGGGTTCTTAGGCCTAACCTCGGACAGGGATGAATTGAACATTGAGTTCAAACAGATAGAAAAATAAACATAAATATAGGAGGAAATAATTAACAAAAATTGAGATAAACATAAATGTAAAATAAAATATGCCAATGAAGGAAAATGGCACAAATCACAAATAGATGTGAAAAATGGGAAACCCTACAGGGGAATTAGACAATTTATAAGCAAAATATGAATTATTAAAACTGGCTAGAAAAAAGTTGCAGCAGACCAATTCTTAGAAAAGGCTCCAGTAACACAGTTTAATTATATCAAACCTTTTAAGACATAAACAACAAGGATAACTTCAATGTGTAACAAGCCTCCAAATTCTTATGACAAAGGCAGTGTGGTATGAATAAAAATCTTAATAGTGGATTCCAGCAGCATGTTTGATACTACGATAATACTAAACCACTACTACAACGGAAATGCCCAAGTGATATCACAGTGTCCATTAACAGCTCACACTATGGGGGAAATACCCGCCAAACATTTTGGGGATAGAAATCTACAGTTCATTCCAGGCACAAGTTCTCAAAACAGGATTACATGGAGTCTTTATTAAAGGAAAACTAACATTCTAGATCAAATATTGGACATATTCCTTAGGATTGAGACAGATGTTTACTCACCACAATTATTTAATACTAGAGGCCAAGTGCACGAAATTCATGCACGGGTAGGGTCCGTAGGCCTGGCTGGTGATCAGGGGCTTCTGGCTGCCGGCCAGGACCTTCCTTTGTTCTGTGCCGCCCCCTGGTGGTCAGTGCATGTCATAGTGAGCATTGAACTCCCAAACTCCCACAGGGAGACTGCATATTAGACTTTTATATAGATTACTAGAGGCCGGTGCACAAAAATTTGTGCACTCGAGGGGGGGGGGGGCCCCTCAGCCCGGCCTGTGCCCTCTCACAGTCTGAGACCCCTCGGGAGATAATGACCTGCTTGCTTAGGCCTGCTCCCGGGTGGCAGAGGGCAGGCCCAATCCCTAGGTGCAGCCCCTGGTCAGGCTCAGAACAGGGCTGATTGGGGAGTTGGGGCACCACCTCCTGTCATGCACAGAGCAGGGCGGATCGGGAGGTTGCGATGCCGCGCTCAGTCACGCTCAGGGTAAGGCTGATTGGGGGGTTGAGGCACCGCTCCCTGTCACACTCAAGGCAGGGTTGATGGGGAGGTTGCACCGCCACCCCGTCATACACAGAGCAGGGCCGGGGGGGGGGG